AAAAAAGAAGGGGAGGGGGAGAGAGAGAGAAAAAGGAGAGGAAGGAAGGAGTAGAGGGAGGGAGGGAGAGAGAGAGAAAAAGGAGAGGAAGGAAGGAGTAGAGGGAGGGAGGGAGGGGCAACCCAGCGGAAGAGAGCAATGTAACCCTGGAGGCATTCAGGGAAAGGAAGCTGCAGCTGTGGAGAGGATGCTCCCATCCCCAGTGGGCCAGAATCAAGATCAGAATCGAGCCTGGAAGGGGACCTTGGAGGTCATCTAGTCCAGCCCCTTGCAATACCATTTCAGCGAAGTGCCTGTCCATCCAGCCTCTTCTTAAAAACCTCAGACGATTAAAAGCCGGGAGGGGGGAAGCAGGAAGGCCCTTCCCCACCCGAGAGGCTGCCATGGCAACTGGCTCCGCTGCCTCCGAAGATGGGAAGATCGCCATGGCAACAGACAACCCAAGAAGAGTGACTGGAGCGGGTGCCAAAGTGGGGGGGGGGGGATTCCAAGGAGGCCAGGAAGAATCTTCCAGCAATGCCGGAATGGGAACTCAAGAGATGCTCCAAAAGATCCCGCCAGTTTCACGCCTGCAGGAATGCCATCTGTCCAGGATTCCCGTTGGCAAGGGGTGATGGGTGTAGTGCCCAACCCACTCCGGTGCCGCACGAAGCATCCCCTGCTAAAGAGGGGTAGACTGTTCCTGAGCCTGGAGGTTCGTCCGTACGATATACCCCATCGCCTCCAGCCCAGTCCTCCGACCGATTGGAGCTCTGCGGAGAAGCAGCACGGTGGGGTTTGAAGGGAGGGGGAGACGCCCCACCTCTTCCAGAGGAGCCCCCACTTCCAGCTTGCCCTCCACAGCTTCCAAAGTGGGTTACCCCCACCCCCCCTTGGCTCACGCCTGGGCTATCAGCCCCTTCCCCCTTTTGGGCAGAGGCTCACAAAAGGGGGCGAGACATTACCAAAAAAGGGAAAAAAAACCCGTCATTCATGGCACCCCCAGGTGCCGGAGGGGACGGGGAGGGGCTGGCTACTTCCTACCAGCAGAAAGAGCCCCCCCAAAACCCATCCTCAAAGCCCGTGATCCGACTCAGCGCCTATCCCAGAGGGACCCCTCCTCAAATATGCAGGGCAGCCCTAAGAATCCAGCGCAGTGCCCGGCGGTTAGGCCTGGCCGAGTGGCTGAGCCGATGAGCTTTGGACAGGTGGGGGTGGGTGGCTCACAGCCAGGAACCTTTGGACAGGTGGGGGAGACTCCTGGGCCGAAGGGGAGGCTGAAAAACCCTGCCTGGCAGGTCTGGTGCTCCTCGGCCACTCAAAGGCTGAGCAGTGGGGAGAAAAAGATTGGGGGGGGGCACAGGAAGTGAAGAACCCCCCTTTGGGGCTCGGTCGTGAAGGGTCTTGTGCTCACTGACGAGGCCGGAGGGTGGCGGGGGCTGCTGCCCCCTCTCTTCTTGGCTGGGAAAAGTGGGGGTCCAAGGCTTAAGCAGACCCCCACTTCCAATCCTTCTCAGGGAGAATGGGTTCCTTCCTTTGGGGAGGAGGGGGCTTCCAGCCCCCCTCTCCTCCTTCCTGCTGACCTCACAGAGGCTTCTGGGCTCCTCCCCCCTCCCACCACAGAGATGCCCACTCACTCATGGCCTGGCAGCACCGCAGGAGGGAGAGGCTGCCCTTCCAGGAAGGTGCCAGAATTGGGGGAGGGGGGCGCCCCCCCTTCCTCCAGGCTCCTCCCTCAATTCTCCCCATTTCTCGCTCTTGGTGGCCCCCATCTGGCCCACAATTCTGCACCTCCACCGAAGGAAACCCCCCCCCCCTGAGCAGCCCAGAGACAAATGCAAATAGTTCTTGACTTAAGACCGCTCGCTTATCGACTGAAGTTACGACGCCCCCCAAAAAAGGATCATGTCTCACCCTTATGACAGTTGCAGCATTCCCCCCCCCCCCCGGAGTCCTGCGATCAAAAAATTCAGATGCTCCGCCGCTGTTTCCGATTCCACCGCCTGAGGGGGGGGTCACACACTTCCCCTTCTGAGGGGATGGAGAAGCCCGCTTCACTTAACGACCTTGCAGCTGATTGAATGGCCACCCAGATTCCCCCTTCACCGAGAGGGCCCGGCAATTCATTAACATTTCCCAACGTCTCGCTTAGGGACCAAAATTTGGGGTCGTACGTTGAGGACCACAAGGACTGTCCAGCATGTGGGATGGGGGGGGGGGTTGCGGCAGGATTTATGGTTCCACCCATGGCACCACTACCCATCATTCCCCCCCCCCACAAGCAAAGTCAAGGGGGCGCTTCATTTAACGACCTGTGATTGGTTGAAAAGCTACCCAGATTCCCTTCGCCAACGGGGCAAGGAGGATTCATCAACACTTTCCAATGTCTCGCTTAGTGACCTAAATTGGGGCTCTTAATTTGAGGACTGCAAGGACTGTCCAAGCCGAGAAAGGGGAGGGGGGGTCGGCCTGGGAGACCTTTCCCCGCAGCCCCCCACCCCAAATTCCAGCCCCGGGACCCCCGCCCGTCCACCCCCCCCACCCCACTCACCAGGGTGAAGTTGCGGGCGCTGCAGGCGACCCCCCGAAAGCGGCAGTGCCAGATCATCTCGCGGAGGTCGTGGCCCGTCCGGTTGTAGAACTCGGCCATGTCGAAGGGCCGCGCCTTGAAGCCCCTGAAGTCGGCCTTGTCCCGCAGGGCGGCCAGGGTCTCCGGGTCGGCCCAGGGGGCTCCGCGGACCTCGGCGCGGCCGTCCAGCAGGGCCAGCAGCTGCCCCGCGTGGTAGAGGTCGTTGCGCGTGATTTGGGAGAGGCGGAAGGCGTTGAGGTTGCAGAGCGTGACGGCCGGGAAGGTGAGGTTGGGCGCCGCCACCTCGTCCACGGCCGTCACCCGCGGGAAGGTGAGGAAGTAGCCCACGCGCTCCGCGCACACCAGCCCCAGCAGGGCCAGCGAGCCCACGAAGAACAGCGCCCACACCGCCCGGCGCAGGGACAGCGAGCCGGCCGCGCAGATGTGGCTCACCCCGTGCAGGGAGGACGTCCCGGCGAACATCTGGAGGCTGGACGCCCGGCGCTCCCCACCCAGGGGGCTGCAGGGCCGCTCCCCGTACATCACGCGCCTCTCCCGGGGAGGGGGCGCACCCCTCCTCCTCCTCCTCCTCTCAGCGGCCGCCCCCTCCTCCTCCTCCTCCTCCTCCCCCCCCGGACGCCCCCCGACTCAACCTGCCAGCCTTCCCCCGCCCCACGCCCATGCTTCCCGGCCCGCCGGCTCCTCTCTCCCCATCCCACGACACCCCGCCCCGAGCCCGCCTTGGAGGAGGGGGCTGAGGAGGGGGGCTACCCCCCACCCCACCCCCGGCCGGGCCAAGCGACCCCCGAGAAGCTTTGGAGGAGCAGCCCACCCCGCCGGCTGCGCAGAAGAGCAGAGCTGCGGGCAAGCGTGGAGGCGAGCAGGCAGCAGCTCGCCCGGGGAAGCCCAGGGTCCTCCACGCCTGCCTGCTCGCTCGCTGGCTGCCTGCCTTGTCTTTCCGAGGGGTGGGGAGGGGGCCGCCGCTGATTTCCCGGCCCCCTTCAGCCCCCACCTCCCCGCAGCCATCCAGCCCTCCCTCCTCCCCGCGAGCCCCCACCACCTCCTGGGTCCTAAGCACCGGCAGCCTCGGGCGTCGGAGTGGAGGCGGGGGGGCGGGGCGCGGGGAAGTGGGAGGCAGAGCTTCAATCAGTCAGAATAGAGCTGGAAGGGACCGTGGAGGTCTTCTAGTCCAGCCCCCTCCTCAAGCAGGAAACCTGATTCCATTTGAGACATTTGTTCAGTCTCCTACCTACCTGCCTTCATTCATTCATTCCCCCCGTTTATTCTTTCTATGAAACCCTCAAGACAGGGAACAAACCCTACAGGCGTCCCCCCCCCCCGCCCAACAACAGCCCTGTGAGGCGGGCCGGGCTGAGAGAGAAGGACTCTGCCCCTAAATCACCCAGCCAGCTGATCTTCCCTCTGCCAACCTCTGCAAGGAAACCGCCTAGGTCAGAGAGCACCAAGGACCCCCTCCCTACACCGGTCTTTCTTTCTTTCTTTCTTTCTTTCTTTCTTTCTTTCTTTCTTTCTTTCTTTCTTTCTTTCTTTCTTTNCCTCCGAGTAGTTGCCAGCCGACATTGGCTGGCAGATGGAATACGGAGGAGGCCTAATCTGTGGGATCGAATGGGTCTGGCCCCAAATCCCCACTTGGGTTATGTGCTAAAGGTAGCACTAGAACTCAGATCTTCCTGTTCCTAGCCCAGTCCTTAACCATTTGTCCAATATAACAGCTTATAAGAAACCGCATATCTGACCAAATTTCAAGTCTCAAGCTACATGTGAGCAGAAAGCATGGTATAGAAGCCAGCTGCTGTTTGTAAGATTTATTGTGGGATGTGGGAGTGGCTAAACTAGTCACACTTCCATGTCTGAAGCAGTTCCAATTGTTCTGCTTTTGTGAATTCCAATGAAGACAGATACTCCCATAAGAGCAGGCGTTTTTAATGCCATTAAAGTCTGGATAGGCCAATAGCCTCATAGTGGCCCTGTGCAATTCTCTAGGCATTTGCCCAAAGCCCAATCAGGAACTCAACGAGGCTTGAATTTCATCATCTGGGGTGAATTTATAGTTACACTGGAAAAATTCCAGTGGCTTCTCACCTCAGAGTGGCATTTCTCCATGAAATATAATTGTGATTGATTCCTCTCCTACCATCACTACCATTATTGTAAATAACACTGCAGAATAGACAGGCAATCTGACCCCCTCCAGAGGACTGGACTAGAATTCCCATCATCCCCCATGATCACAGGCTCCTTTTCAAAATTAAGTGTACATTAAAAAAATTAGAGCAAGTTAATCATTACTGGAAAGCCACAGAATTGTATATTTGCTCCTGGCATATATAAAATATGCTTTAACCACATGAACAGTGTTTTGGAGAACACTTGGAATTTTACACCCATAATTTTTCAAGAAATGTTCATTAAATTTAAAGAACTATAGACCTGATTTCACTTGAAACAGTATAGATACTTTTCAATATTCTACAATTTATATCTACAGTATTTCTTAGCATCCTCAATTGTTTGCAGATGCAAAATTTAAGGCCAAGATGAGCCACTAGAAAATATTTCACTGTTTCCACTTAATTTGTTTATATATAGATCCGCATTCACTGTGACTTGTCTCTGCTGACATAATCATGTCTATTTTTATGATTTTTTTCTATATTTCATCGGAGTTTTAAAGTGTATCATCAAATATTAACAAATATCAACAAAGAGAAATTGTCTATTCAGCAAAATTATCTGACTTTTCTTTGGGGAATGCTTGAAAATCTACTTTCAAACTGCAAAACTGAATATGTGTCCTTTATGAACAAATGCTAGTTTAGATACACAGGCAACTTAATAAAATAGGTTCTATTAAAACTGTTCTGATTTTTCGCAAGATATCAGCTTTTCAGATGAAGAAAATGTTTCAAGCAAACTATCAACTACTAAAGAAAGTTACATCTAAAAATCCTGTGATCCCAACCCACAAATCCCCATGCACAGGAGATGTTTGTGTGCTCAAGGATTGATCCCCTCTTTCCATCTTAAGATTCTACTCTAGGCTCTCTGAGATGGTGATATTCTTTTAGAAAGAAAAGATGCATTCACACCCTTACACAGAGACAGCAATGTACTGCAGTAATTAGAGAGCTGGAGAGGGATTAGAGAACTAGATTCAGATAACGACTCAAGTCATGGAGCTCACTAGGTGACATTGGGACAACCACTTTCTCTCACCCCTCTCTCTGTTGTAGGGTTGTTGTGGAAAGAAAGATGAGATGTAGATCTAACACATAAAAATTATTTAGGACATGCTTATACCACATTGTTTTCACATATATTTAGTGTAGTGATTAAAGCACCAGAATAGCAATCAGGAGACTG